GGGGGTGGTTTTGGGGCGGCGCTGCTTGTTTGTTTACATCGTTCGGCTTTCACTCTCAATTTTTTATCCGGCGGTGCTGCACGAGCTGTTTATTTCCTGCGCCCTTTCTTGTTGATGTTTGTTTGTTTGCGCGAGTCAGCACCTAATACTGCGTCGGGGGTGGTTTCGGCGTTACGCGGCACTTTCGGCGAGACGCGCTGCATGACGCGAAATTTATTATCCAGAGCCACCTTTAATTCGGCCGGCTGAACCCTCGCTTCGTGTTGTTGTTCAAGGCACAAGCAGGGGAATGAAAGGGATCAGAAATGCTCCAAACATTTTGCCAATTTCGTTTTATAAGAAATTCAAAAGAAAATATTGATGATAGAAAAGAAGTGGATCGTGAAGAATTTTTAATGATGGTAAAAAAACATAAATTTTTACTCTTAATATTGTTTGATACATGCAAAAATCATTAAAATTTAAAATATTTAAAATAGAATATTTCTTGTTCAGAAATTTGTCTCCAAAACTTTGATTCAAAACATTATATCTTGTAATTTTTAGGCGTTTGAAAAAGATTATAAATTGTATTATAATTTTAATTATAATATTATTATCAAATATTATCATTTCATTTTTGAGAGAAAAATTTACTGAAAACTACTGTGAAAAGTATAATATTTTGTTTATCAGGCAAATTTTTCATAAATTTTTAATAATTATTTCCTATTCATCTTTGTTTTTCTTTTTCGTAGTGATTGATGCTACAATTTTTTATTTTGAAATATGACTGTGCTCACTCTGGATTTCAGTTTGGCCGAGCCGGCGGTTTGTTCTTGTTTTTGGACACACCACTTGGCACGAGGAATGCCGCCGTCTCGCGTCCCTATGTTATTTCGCGTTCGGCCTCACTCGCTCTTGTATATTCCATTTCGCGGACACGTCGATATTAATTTTAATAAAAAGCGTTCTGCAACATATTTGCTGACACAGGGGCAATAAAAGTCGCCAACTAAATTTTCGAATTAACACTCCGTGAAGAGCAGCCGCAAAGTACTGAGAGAGTAATAAAAATAAGTACAGTTTATGTATTTATATCATAAACGATAAACTGAGAAGATATACTTGAAAAATCAATTAGCATGACATAAAAATATCCTGTCAATGTGAATAGGAATAATTTTTACAACTCAAATACACTAAAAAAATAATAACTTGCCAAGTTTTTTTATTGAAACATTTAAAAAAATCAATTAACCATGAAAAAAATGTTAAAAAATCAGTTGAAACTAAAATTTGGATTGAATAATGTTTTTAAGCTATTTATTTAATATAAACCAAATTTCAATTTTACTTTTTTTATTGAAATTATAGTAAAATGATTGATCAAGAAAATTAAAGGAAAAAAAGTATGAGAATTTTGTACAAAAAGAATCAAATGTTCGCTTACTTTAATTAAAATATGGATGTAATAAAAATTTTACAAAATAATTTAACATTTATTACATTGCACGTTTCAGTTAATGGGGTGAAGTTCAAATTTGGTAATTAAGCCATCATTGGGTAGGCGATGGCTGAGCCGATAAGTTGCAGCAGTTTGACTCTTTCTCTCTCTCTCGGGATTAAAGCGCGTTCATGTTACGTGTATCGGTGGGGCCAATAGATATAAGCACACTTCTCTGTACCTTCGCTCCGAGGGACAATTCAGCGCGCGGAGAAAGAAAGAGAGCAGCCCAACATAACCAGGTGCGGCCTTTTATTTTGCTGGCAAACCAGTTTTTATCCCTTGGCAAATATGATACATTTTTTTGCGTCGACGTACGTACTTTTCTTTGCAACAAGAAGCGAGTTAGTTTGCCGAGCGCTGCAACAATTTATGTACGTGTTCGAAAAATGAGCTATCCCTCAAGTCGACAGGCGACTTTATTTCGTTTGCCTCCAAGTTCTTGCCTGAGATTGAATTTGAACGGGACCCAACTATGTAGACATTCAATTAGGTTGCTGTAATTGAGCTCAATTTGTAATTAAACTTGTATGCTTATTGCTTAGTTGGTTTTACAATTTATATTTTATTTTCAAGAGTTTCATTTTTACAAATTTGGGACTTTAACTATTTTGTTGATTGAAAAAAGGGACCAGAGATTTGATTTTGCATCTTTCAAATGAAAGTCAGAACAAGAGCGAGTTTAATTACAGTCAATTAAAACCAAATATTAAATTTGTAGATAATATAGAATTCGTTCATATTTTTTGTCTAAAATAGTTTCAGATTGTTATTTTTGTACCTTTGTCCGATCTGAAAAATATTTTTTAATATAAACTATGTTTGTTAAATTTGTTCTAATTTAAAAATTTAAAAACCATAGAACAAAAATAAGTGATAATTAAAATTGATGATGATAGATCCGACTGGAAAAGTAGACACCCTGTAAGCATTTTGATTAAAATTTATACAATGCGTGATTTTGTTCTCTAAAAAAAATCCTATTTTTCTCTCTACAAAATATATATTACATTGATTGTTCACAATTTTAAAAAACAAAATAATATTGTGAATTATTTTAAAAAGACACATTTAATAAATTCTATGTTCCTTTTTCATATCACTTTTAGTCAAATTTATATTGCCACTGCTTGCTGTGTCTGGTCGGCAGCCACTTGTTGTTATTTTTGTTGTGCTCTTTATATTCTCCTTAAGGGGGAACGCGAGGGCAAAACAAAATAAAACACCACCAGGGGAAAGGGCAAATAACACAACAGTCTAGACGCGCAGTCAGACTATCCTCTTTATAGAAAAACGAGCGGGCAGAGCAGAGAGGAAAAGCCGTTTTTTCCTCTCTTTTTCTTTCGCAGGCAGACTAAATAAATATATATTTTTTTTATTGTTCTCTCCGCTTTGCTCTCTCTCCGACGCAAATTACATTAATGCATCTTGGTGTTTTTAATAGGGTTTAAAAACGTATACTTACTCGCGTAAGACCGGGGGAGTCGGGGAATAAATCACGCGGCATGTGAACGGGGAAAAAAAGAGTTTTTCCACGAGAAAAGAAATAAGGAGACGAATTCGAGGCTGTTTTGAATTTACATCGAGAGAAGATACGGATATAAAGAAAGAAAGCAGTCAATAAGCAGGGAGATAAATCACCCAACCTCGTTCGCTTTGCAATTGTAACGAGCACCAAACAAAATCAATCCTCATAAGGATGCAAACGACGTTGCTGCAACTTGAGAACCAAAATAGTGTAGCATTAATTTAAAAAAAAAGGAATAAGAAGCTTATTAAAAATTTTAATTTGTTATTAATTTACTTTGAACTAATTTATTTATATTCAATTTTTTTTAAATGTATTAATTTCTTTTTGACTATAAAAAAAAAATATTGTAATTTAATTCTTAATTCTTCCGATATTTTACATCAAATAATGTTTCATTTTCTTCTGATTTAACAAAAAATTATGGACTAAGCTAATTTATTAATAAAACGACAGCAGATTTTAAGTTAAAGTTGGTTAAAATCTAATCGCATGGCTAAGAAATTGCATACCAACTATTTTTCAATAAAATTTTAATTCGTTAAAATAATTATTAACTTTTACGTTCATTGTGGTAAAATCTTGCGCATTGCTTAAAGTTTTGTTATATTTTTCGTCTCAGTTTTTGAGAGTTTGTGTAGCAAATTGGAAAAGCAGTGCTTAATCCTGCATATATTTCTTAATGGGGCGGCAACCCTTTCTCTTCCACTTTTTTCTTTCAAGAGGGGATGCTGGAAACATTAACAATCCACTCTGCGCGTGTTTCTCAAATTGTTTGGCACATAATAAAAGAAAACGCGACGTCGGGGCGAAAAGCAACCCATATTCATTATTATTATTATTTCTCGGCGGCGTTCGCTGGAGCGCGAAAAAGCTACGGAGGCATTATTTTTATATTAAACGTACTCTCGGCGAAAAGAAGGAGGTTTTTAAGACAGTCGGAGAGAAAGAAAGAAGCAATTAAGGATTTTTCTTTACCATAACAAAGGAAAATAAATTATTTTATACTCGCTCTCTTCCACTTCACTTTGCTTTCCTCTCAACAGCAATAACGTTTACTTTTCTTTCATTCTTTCCGTGGCCCTCTTGTTACCATAATAAAAAATAATAATCATCCCCTCGCAGATTGCTCTCATTTGGACGAATTCTGCGGAGAGAGAAATAAATTTTCGCGTCGCTGGCGCATTTTTAGCCGGTGCACTTTTCTCTCCCCGAGAGGCGGTTAATGACTCAAAAGTAAGTTGGAAATTCATGCCAAGTGGCGACAGATGGAGACGAGATTTAATCTAAAAAAAATTTTGCTTTATTAAAATAATACTGTATAATCTATTGAAATCCAAAAATTGGAATGAAAATTTAATTCTTGGCAAATATGTATGAAAATTAGTGATACAGGAAAAATGGGCGATCACCTGTCAGTAAAGATCTAAAATTGTGCTAATAAAACTCACACTTTGCTTTTTATTACCAAAAATTGAGGTTATAGAGACACTTAAATTCTTTATTTTCACTCATATTAGAGAAAATGACAACCTATTCCGATAATTTTCAAATTCAATCACCAATTGTGTTATAGAATTTTTTTTTTCCAAAATCAGATTATTTCAGCAAAATTGTCAATTTATTTTACACATCAAATAAATCAACTAAAAACTAGGTTCTACCAATAATTTCAGCAGCAAAAACACATCATCAGGCACCGATTTCTCCAATAGATCATTTACTACTTCCTAAATTCACTGATTCATTAATCGTTAAAGAATCATTAATTTATGTTTAATTTGTTTTAAATTTAAATTTTCGCTTCTGGGTAATAAAGCAAATTTATTTAAAATTTTTGCACTTTTTGAATTTGGCCGATAGAAGTATTTGAATTTTGTTTAAAATAAAATGTTAGATATTAATGTGAATTATATTATCTTAATTAATTCAAACTGTTGATCGTGTTAATTAATTTTTTTGATATTTTGGAGGAAAAAAACTTACCGTGATCGCATGCGTCCCGGCGGCCTCCAAAGGTCAGCAAGGGCGCCAACAAAAGAACACAATTGCGAACCACAAATAAATAAATCTAAATACGCGCGGCCGAAATGCGAGAGTGCGACTAACTTTACAGGGGAACCTGTCCTCTCGGCGGTGTCCAGCGCGAGCGGCGGCACTTACTATGACTGAAGTTAAAAACCACCTGAGAGAGCAGAGAGAGCGACGAATAAAATAAAAACTACTACATATACTACTACTTGTGGGCCGGGGGAGAGAGAGACGGAGAAAGAGAGCCTCTCTCACTACTACTCAATCTGATGCTGTTTAATATTAATAATAAAAGATGCGGCCGCGGGAGAGAATCCAAAGTGCGCGCGGGGCGTGGTTTTGTGTAATGGCACATTCGCTGAATCAAACGCGGCGCGTTTTCGCCACTCGGTCCATCGGGTGAATCATTTTTATTTCGCTACTTTTCGGCACGCACACCGACGACTACTTCTTTCTTCATCTGCACGAGATTCGAAAATGTGTGCAATAAAACGCTCTCTTGCGCTGGGAAAGCCGATCGGCTCGTTGCGCGCACAAAATTATTTTGTGCCTGCATAAATTAGCAGCTGGTTTCGCTCGGTGCAAATTTGTATAAAATGGTAGAAATTCGACATACAACACTCTCGTCGAGGACCTGCGTGATTTTAAACGCCAAATTCTCCATTACTCCACGCTTGAATCGTATAAATGAAATACGTAAGTCTATTTAATGCAAATGTAGGTTCTGGCTTTGTGGGAAAATTGTGTTTGAGAATCTTTTCTTTAATTTAATTTAAACGTTTTTTAACCCTATTATTTGTTTTCAGGATGTGGAAGAATTTTTTAAACAATTTTAAAAATAAAATTAGAAAAGTTTCGCAAAGCTTGCAATTATTAAAAAATATTAGTTAAGATTATTAAATTTGCAAAAGTCTAAAGACAGAGATGGGAAATTGTAATATTATGTTGCAGAAATATAATATCAATATTGAGCCTACTTATCAAAATGCAAGCTAAATTGATACGTCTTAAATCAAAGGCTTTATAGGCACTTCAAATTTATTATAAAATTTAGTGTTTTTTTATTTTATATTATAATCAAATTAAATGATTATTTTGAATTTTTTAATCCAATTTTTTTTTTATATTTTATGAATTAGGATCGAGATTTACAAATTGTTGACAGATTGAAAATATAAAAATTTTTCGATTTTGTAACAAAAACTGTTGTATCACTTCTTAAAAAGCCATATTTGATGAACGTCTGATGCGCCTCTTTAGTGTGTGTTTATTAATTTTTTTTCTCATCAAAAGAGAAAAAATGTGCAACTCATTCAAAGTCCTTCTGCAAACGGAAGCCCGTCAAGCAAAGAGTAATTGGCCTTTTAGAGTACAGCTAAGTGGAGTGCCACCGAGCAAGCGACCGACCGACTGCTGCTGTCTGAGTGTTGATTTGCGCATAATGACGAGATAGATAATGAGAGAGTGGCTCAGCCGCACCCGCCGCCGCCGCTTCTTGTTGTTTGTTGTTTGCAGGAGGTGCACGGCAGCATCTTCTTCAATCAGCGAAACTGAACGAGACGCGCGGCTCATCATATATGTACACATAAAAGCTGCTTGAAAATAAAACGCTGACGCGTAATCTCGCGGGGAGGACATGCACCGCGCGAAAGAGATGTAATAATGTATGCAAAAGCGGCCGCACAAACGCGCTTATTGAGAGTGGCTTAAACAGATGCTACCGGCGTTTCTTTCTTGGTCCGGGGGAAGTGTTTAAAAATTATACTATTAGTTCAAGATCATCAAATAAGAGTAACAAGCGTTAAAAAAAACTTAGCTAGTGATCTTCAAATTGTTGAATTAAGAGATAAGAAACTATTTTTTTAAATAAAATATTTAAAATTGTTACTTTTTCCATTTTTTTTTTTCAAATCATATATTTTTACTTTATGTTGAAATTGGTGTATCATTTAGAAATTCTTATACATCTTTATGATAAAAAAAATTTAAATCAATGAAATTCTTTAAAATTAACATTGTGTATTAAATTATAATTTGAATTATTTTTATAAAAGTATTTCGACTTTAAATTGATTCCTAGGCTCCTATTAACAAATTTATCAGGTTTAATTAAAAAAAAATTATTCAAAGGTTCAAAAGTCCAAGAAAAAAATGTTTTTTTTTAACCATTTTTTATATATTTTGAATTTTTGTTTAGATTTCTACTTGGAAAAACGGCTACAACATGAATATTTCAATTTTTTAAATTATATTTATACAATTTCAAACTTTTTAACAATTCAAATTGAATTGCATGAATATAAAAATTATAGAATTAAATTTTTTTAATATGTTACAGTTAATTAATATTTACTTTAATAAATTATTTATTGTACTTTTATTTTAGGAATTAATTTTTTAATTGTTTTAAATTCAAAAAATTATTTGAAAAAATAGAACCACACAAAAATTAGCCTTTAACATCATTACAAATTAATACTAATTAATGAAATTATAAATTAATTTTTACAGTTTTGACTTACAAAGATTAATTCAACACTGCCCCCATCCAGAGGGGGTCTTGTAAGCAATGGAGCAGCCCCAGAGGGGACCACCGTCTGGTGACCGTGTCGATGTCCGTTCGCCGAGGAAACACAATTGAGACATCTTGAAAATCAAGAGCGTCCGTCACTCAGCGTCCGTCTGTGCGCCTGTCTAGCTGTCATCTCGCCGCGTGTGCACGCAGGGTGGCTTGAAATTTTTGCCGCGAGAGACGTGATTGGAATTAACGATTGAAAATTTGGACACGGAGATATTGAATTTGAAAGCGAACACGTTCAACAGCTGCGCCTAATAAAGTTCTTGGCTGACGCCTCCGCAATTAGCAATTTGACTGCTCCTTTGCATAAAAGTGACTTCGCAAAAGGAGAAGAGAGGTGAAAATTCGGCAGCGGTGCTTACGGGTACCATTCAGGGTGGACGAATTTAATCAAACACATAAATTATATTTTTTTTTAACTGTAAAAATGATAAATAAAGACAATATACAAATATTTTCTTTGGTAAACTGGAATTTTTTAAATTTGTGAAAATGTTGAAAATAAGGTTTGTAAAAAAAAGTAAATGCAAACTTTACTTCATGTGATAATTGGTAGTTTTTTCTTTAAAAAATAAATATAATAACATATAAACTTGAAAAACCAATTCACAATTTAATATTCTGGATTTGGATTTTTTTTTTTTTTTTAATAAACAAAATGGATCATTTCAATGGATTATTTTTGAATATTTTTTAATTAGAATTCAAAACCCCGCCGTCCTGAATGAAGTAGTCGTACGTTTAAAATGTACTTGCTTTTGGAAAGGCAGGCCCTGCCCCTAGTGCTATTTTTTTTATACGCCGGGAAGAATTGGGCATAACCAATAAAATAAAATATTGAGCGAGTCGCATAAATGTCTGGCAACAACAAGCAGCACAACATTATTTTGGTGTGTATCGCCCCGCATTATGGCGAGTGAGTGACACTGGTTGAGAAAAGTTGTTTCTGCATCCGCCAGCCGCGAAGCTCGTAATTTCGTTTTTATGAACTGCTCCTAGTCGCGGAGCTGCGCCCGAATTTTTATGCCGCGCGCTTTTTTATTTATTTATCGCGGAACGACGACGACTTCTGGCGTTCGGTGAAAGTAATATAAAATGATATGATCCTGAAATGCAAAAAAGACACACTCGCGTGCTACAATTCCAAATCGGTTTTATGAACTTCGGTTGGGACGTATATAATGTAATAATCAAGTGAAGGGAAGACCTTGGAATTAAAAATTAAAAGAAAAAATTCTAATTTTGTTAAAAAAAAAAAAGATCGGTTTTTAATATTGGGATTTCATTTTTATGACAATTTATTTCTGTATGAATTATTTATTATTATTAAAGCTCATTTCTAGCATAAGATAACTTAAATCGAACTTAAGAACTGTATTGCTTGTCTGAATTAGAATTTTGTTGTTTAGGACGAAGATTGAAAATAATGTTTTATTCAAATCTGCAAAACTAAAATAATAATAATGTCATCAAATTAAAATTAAATCACTCTAATTTACTTAACCAAAATAAATTTATAAAATAGAATAACTTTAAAATGTTAATTGGAATATATGAACAAGTTAAAATAAATTTGCCTGGCAAAAAGTGTAAAAATTCTGGCATTTTTATTTTTATAAATTTACGCAATTTGTTACAATAATTTATATATTTTTACTTTTTCATCATCACTTTGTATCTTTATTTTGCAACAATGAATTTCTGCCTCAATTAAAATTACAAAGTCCTGATTTGTGCAACATGGAGCAATTCAATAAATCATCTTTCACGTCGCGCTCTGATACGATCTACATCTGAAGTGCCGAGTGGTCTCCTTCTTCCTCAATCTCGCTTTTGGTATGCGCACAACATTTGTCACCAGCAAACTCTGGCCATCACCGAGCGACACACAATAATAAAAATAATAATAATAATAAGCAAACCCGCCCTCTTTGCTTGCGCGCGGATGGCATAACAATAATCGCGCATAATAATGCGCCGACGCTGCTGCTCTCTGTGTAATAAATAATGAGCATTATTTAAATGTAGCAGCAGCAGATGAATGAATGGACGCAGGATGTTGCAAATCATTGTTGCTTTAAGTGTAATAAACGCAGGAGGTATCAATAACACCACCGCCGAGCACACCACATCACCAGCCTCCTCTCCAAACCCAAATGTGTGTACATAAATATATGTACAGAGAGCACAGATTGAGTACGGCGGGCCACAAAATAGCGTAACGAGTAATCAGCTCGAGGACATTGAAAATTTTGGTGCTCAAAACAAATATGTTTAAAAAAATACGCTAGTTAATCTTTATAAAATGGTGTTCAATTTTAAAGTGTAAAATAAATAGATTTAACATTTAATTTTTTAATTAGTTGTTAATTTAAACAATTTATCATGTTTTATTTATTATAATTTCTAATTAGTATGTATAAGTGTTAGATTATGTTTCAAAATAATGCAAATCTGCTTACTTACAGAAATTATCTTTAAAAAATTAACGTTTTGTTAAAAATATAAATGACATAGATATTTAAAATTGACTTGGATAATCAAAATATAATAAGAGTCGATTCCCTCTAATAGAAATTAACCTTTGATTTCTCTAAAAATTCTTAATTAAAAAAGAAGTTTATCAAAGTAATTTTATTTTAGGTCCAGC